ATTAACCCTCTCAGCTGAAACCAGGACATGTACCCTTCAGACCAGTCAGGGAAGCTGCTGAATCAAATCTGGAAGGCACTTTAATGAAGTATGTAGGGGCCCAGTGACTGGGAGGGGAGTCAGACCACTGCAGATATTGACAGAAACTGGCTGAGTAGCATCATTTGCTGAACAGAAACCCATACTCAGATTCAGATTAGAAAGGAATCTGGTGGAGGGTTTCTGGGATGAGACTGGAGTTTCAGCGGATAATCAAGGTATTTCCCACCCTGGAGCCTGAAGGAGAAAAGCTGCACTCTTAGCCTTTGCTTCGTAGTATAATGGAAGAAAATCCACAATGTTTCTCTCCCAATGGGATAGGATAGTTCCTGTGATTTTATTATATTAGTTTTTCCAAAAGCATGCTGCAGCACTCTTTAAACTCCAACTAGATAAGAACAGCTTCTTTCCTGCTCTTTATAGCTCAGTGACCCCAGACTGCAAATCATTTCATGTGGTTTCCCCTATCCCTCAGAGACTACTAACCTCAAAGACGTCCTTGAGCTTCAAACGATTCTTACTTATCTCTGGCTGAAAGCTGACAGTCCAGGAATCATCATCGTCACCTCCTTGGATAAACTTTTTCTGACAGTAAATATAGTCTGGAGAAATGGAAGAGAGATGACTAACCTGAGTTTATTCAGATACCAGACAAGCTCAGGTAAGAAGACTGTTTAACCTCTTCCTGGTGCCCATGACACAGAGACAGCTTGGCCATGGACAGGCCAGCTGAGGCATGCTGTCCACTCTGTATTTGGAACCAACGCCATTCTCTCTGGGCTATTTTTTTTTCCCCTCTTACCAGCAGAGGGCCCCTTCAGCCAACCCTATCCCAGCAGCTGCATTTAGTCCCCTAGGATAAGGGACCCCATCGCCCATTTCCTCAGGAATGACAGAAAGATGGTGTCTCTAAACAAGGGAGAATTGTCATACAGGTCTGGTTGCTAAGAGTCCTGTCCCCCTTCTTCTGCAATATTTGAACATTTTTTTTTGGATGCGACACTCGGTCACTGAATGGTGATGGATGTGCCCCCAAAGAAGCTGGGCAGGATGCTGGGCACAGAAGCAAGTCTATACCAGATTCACTCATGCACAAAGCTCAGCAGTTCACCCCTTCCCAGTCCCACAAAGCACGGGAAACCTTGCCTTCAATTTTCATGACAGCAATGGTTACTTCCGCCAAGCTCACAAGGTTCTTCAGACATTGGCGGATTTCTTCATCTTCTATGTAATAAAGCCGCGCTACATATATATCTATGTTTACATTTGAGTGCCTCTTCAAGAAATTCAGTATTTTATGGCAGCAGTCTGCACAAGGGCTCCAGGACAAGTACCAGGTGATGTTACACTTGACATAATTACTGGATCTTCTCATCTTAAAGATCTTCTCCAAGAAGTAGCTTTCAGCATGGTGGTAACGCTCATTTCTGACCCAGTGTATCCAAGGTGTGCCAGTCTCACCCCACTGCAGTTTGCATAGTAGGTATGTGTCCTTTGGAGTCTCATGGGGGTTAAAATTATGCTTTAACGCCGCCTTAGATATATACATGCTGAAACAGAAGAGAAACTTCAAGGAATCACTGGTTACAACTCCGTTTTCAGTAGTTCTCCAGTTCACAAAAAAGGGGGAGGGTGGAGGAAACAAGAGGACAACTGAAAAGGGCAAAACATGAGAGTGCAATGCAAGGAAAATGGAGAGGTAGGCACCACAGCAGGGTAAAGGAACCAAACGCTGAACCACCTAATCCTCCTTTTGTCTGCAACTGCACACAGAACACCTCCTCATCCCTCCTATGGCCGTCCTCTTCATCATCAGCGTGAGTATTTCTAAAAGCTTTCTATATGTATCAGACATTTTTCCAGGGCTCCTGTGTAGCTCTTTTCGATGTAGGGAGCCATTGTAAATTTTGTAAAAACTAAAAAAAAAAATAAAACAAAGAAAATAAAACCACAATAAATCAGGAAGCTGAATATTTCTCCTTATTGGATTTTCTTGCTGTTTGTATTTTCATAAGGATTAACACAGTCAGCACAATCCTACATGAGAGAAGGAAAAATAAGATGCAGCTCCCAAGGATGATATTTTCTGACAGATAGTCCATCTCTTAGATCCAGATCTATTCAGGTCAGAACAGACCTCTAAATATTGTCAATTAAGCAACTATACAAAGACTGCCAGTGTTGGTTGTGAATGTATCCTTTATACCAGTAATTATCCATGATATATAAATAATATATGAAGTCACCATTAGCACTTTGTAGCCTTTGTACAATTGCTTTATAGAGAGATTTATATGAGAATGCACTTCAGATATATATTTTTCCACATTAGAGTAATTCAGAGTAAATCTAGTGGACAACTGGACAGACTCTTAACACAGAAGCAATAGGCCTGTAAACTGTTTTATAGATTAGCACCCACCAATAACAGAAAACCTCCACTATCGGAACTAAGGACAAATGAAATCTTGCAGATCAAGCAACTATCACATATTCTCTAGCTGCAGGACTCATCACCTATGTAAAAAAAGCATCTCATTTATCTGGGTCAGTCAGAAGACTTTGTCTTCTTACCCTGTTTCCTTCCTCATCGCAGCCTCCTACACATTAAAATACGTATGTACATAAACCAGTTTATAAACCACAGAGTGTATCATCTGTGTTTATTTTCTCCATGTAAACTCTGTGTATATAAACCACAAAAACTATGCATGCAGATTTCTTTATTAGACTTTCTATTGAATTTATATAAGTATAGCAAATATCACCAAATGTTTAATTATGGTACAGGAATAACTTTTTTTTATTATACTTAATTCCTTTAGTATGTTGTTAAAAAAAAAAAAGAGAAAGATAAAAGTGAAGCACAGGCTTAATTTTTATTTCTTCTCATTTGAGGTGCTAAAAGAGATGTATTTTTTCCATTTCTGTTAAGTTATTTGGAAGTTAGTTCATATTAGCTTAAATTTTGTTAAAGCTTGTTGATGATTAGGGAACATATATATGTATATAATATGTATATAATACATATAATGTGCGCGTGCGCACACGTGTGTGTGTATACAGGGAATATGGTGACACTGGTTAAAGTACACCAAGGAAAATACATTGAACTCCCAATACTGAAGCCAAATCAGTTCATCTAATTCTCACAGAAGGTATCTTTAAGGTTTGAGAAAGCAGTGTTACAAGAGATTACAGAGATCTGATTTGTTCAAAGGTATCTGTAGTTGTTGCCATCTGATTATAATACACAGGCAAGTTAAAATTTCCAGGTCATACTTAAACTGGTCTTAAGCACCTCTTGGCAGTGTCTTGACCATAAAATTTTACACTTTAGATAAGTTACTGCAGTGAGTGTCCTGTGCACATTTTCAGGGACATAAAGCCATTTCTTTAGAACAATCTTGCAATATGCTAATCTTCATTATACAGCCACTTTAAAGATGTGTTAAACCAAATAAAATTTATTGTGTAATCAATTAAATTGTGACAATCAATCAATTGTGCAATATAAATAAAAGTCTACATTCTTATAAATATCTGCTACAGATATAACTTGCTATTTTTTTAAGTAATGGATTAATGTAAACAGCTCTAACAGGACAGACAAGAAATTTAAAAAACATCATAAAACATTTCCACACTACAGAATCTATACAAAATCCTAGCACCTATTCCTTTTTCTCCTCAAACCAGATAAGAAAATACGTAAAATAAGTTGTGAGTTTACAGATAAATTGCCCAAAATCATGCAATCACTTTAATTTTCTTCTATTTTTATAACTATCACGAACAGTCCTTGCCATCCGGCATTTTTATGTATAGTACACATATACACATGGAGCCTAACTCAAAAAAATCTGGTTCTTTGATGCAAATATGAGACAAAATTAAGAGTTAGCAAATTTAAAAAAAAAGTCCTAAAACTTTTCTAGTTTTCTTTCTAAATGTGGTTCATCAAGCTCATGAAGGTAAACTTGTAACCCCTTCAGAACTTAAGAGCTGGAGAAAAATGCACCAACTGTAAAGACTGCGTACTTGAAAGGTGAATTGCATCCAAAAATGTTTAGCAGTGTTAGGGGAGAAAAATGGCAGAGGGTTGACATTCAACATAACTGTCTCCTGAGTTTTATCTTCTTTTCCATTAATATGCAGCTGCTATGTAAATGTGCATTAAACCTTGAAAATATATTGACTGATTACAAATATCTTTTAAAAGGTGTTGTTTATACCTTTTCTATTGTCCCATCATCCATAACTTGAACAGGAATGCAATGGGTTTATTTTAAAATGTACTAATTTTATGAAAACAAATAATAACAAACTAAAACTAATATCTCTATTATTAAAACTTTGTGTAATAAACTGCACCATTATAGATCTTTAATTATTTTCCTTCCTTCCTCTAACACTTTTTATTAGAAACTATTTAAAATTCTGCTCGTTGCAATCTAATCCAATAATAGTAATAATATTATCTAAAAAAGTACGAGCATAGATGTTTCAAAACTTCTTTAATCCATGTTTTTCCTCCATTGCCAACGCAGTCAATGCACTTCTGTACTAAACTTTGCATTAGAACTTTTGGATTTTTTTCCCTGTATTGTACAGAAAATGTCTGGTCTGACACTTCCTGTTTATTTTGTGGCACAATGGCCATTTCAAGACCTCAAAACAGTCGAGCAGGGAAGAGGTACCTTTGGATACTCTTGCTGCCCAGCATCGTTGGGGTGATCCAGCTCCTGCCTTAGCCCTTCCCCAACCCACCCCCATCTTTCACCTGTTTTTATCAGTGCCCTTCACTCCCCTCCATTTTATGGCTCCCGTGACAGTTTTATGCCGGCGGGAACTTCCCCAACAGGCTCAGACTTTGGTGTGGCCCCTTACACGCCGCAGTAGCACCCGGGACCAGGGCTCCCACTCGGGTACGCTGGCACCAGTGTCGCCCTCGCCCTTCCCCAAGCAAGGCAGAGACTTTGCACAGACAGAAAGCACGCCCCATGGGGTGATAAAGCAACAGGTCCCCTTCGGTTGAAGCAACAACAACACAGAGCTGAAGCTGGGGTGGGGTTTTTTTGGTCAGCAATTTGTTTTTACCCTCTCAGCTTTTTCCTGTACATGGCTTCTCCTCTCCCCATGAACCCTCTGGCACCGCTCTTTTCCTTTGGTGCTGTCCTCCTTTGTGTTTATGTTCCTGCAGACGGGGGCTCTTCGTGCGCCGCCAATGACGGAGCACACCCCCAGGCTCTGCTGGCTCCAGATGATGTAAGAGGAAGTGGAAAAAAATGGTTTTGACTGCAGTTGCTACCACATAATGACACATCTTTACAAGCCTGCCCTTATTCACCCTTAGCTGGGGAGTGAGGGCTGATAAATGTTTCCGGTTAAAAACGTAGCAATTGGACAATCTCTTTGAAGCCTGCTTGTAAGTTTGAAAGGGATGATAATGCTTCATTGGCAGAAAAATGATTTATTTTCTCTGCCTGCAGGCAGCTCCTGCTGGGTACCCGGGATTGCACCACCACGATGGCCCTGCCGTTATCTACATGTGCAGCAGGAAGTTCAAACATCCTTTAGGAACAGAATTGTGTTCCTGAAAGAAAATATGTAATAGCTCAGATGACAAAAAAGGGGGAGCTTCCCTTCACAGACAGGATCTGCACAGCGTGCCACGGCAAAATCCATCCAGGGTCTGTCGAACGCTGCGCAAAGGTGAGGTGCCCAGCATCTGAAGGGATGTTAGATTTACTCACTATCTATATTCCTCTTCTTATTTTGTCTTATTAAAACAGCTGTTTTATTTACCCGTTTGTTGTCAGGCCTTTCCTACTGAGATGCAGTAAGTACCCTGCACCATCTCTCATGCACATAAGTGATCCTGGCCAGGCCACTGAGATGCACACATCTTGGTGCTGGAGAGTATATGGATAAGACAGTGCAAGGGGGCAAAATCCATTTATTTTGAGATTTGTAAAATAAAATCACATTCCCCTTCCTTAAGGTCTTTTTGAGTTTTGTTATACTAATTTCCTGTGGAGACATTTAGGAAAGATAGTAGCTCCCAAGTCCCACAGAGTTACTACTGTTCTCCTAACTACTATGCTAGAAAAACACAGTGCAGCTTAGCAACTTTGCCAGCCCCCTTCTGAAAAAACAGCCTTGGCAAAGACTAGCAAGACTCACAATCCTAGGGTGACACCGAGGAGCAGCTACAATTACCAGTCACTTGGGAGCTCATATTCTGCTTGCAGATTAACTGCACTGTGGATGCAGAGAGCTTAGCTGGCTCCATGCAGAGTCTGGCTGGTTCATTAGCTGAGGCACAGCACTGCCTGCTCAGGTCTGGAAGCATAACAAATACTTTTACAGGACACCAAGCCTAAGCTAACAAGGACCAGATGTGTATAGAGAGAGTGCTGCAGAGATTCTGCAGACATGTTCCTGAGACTAGGAGCCCAGGGGAGCGAGGGGCAATGACACCCATGTGACTCCTCATAGACCCATGAAGGGACCAGCTCTGCCTCAAGGTGAGCTACACCACACTCCGCATGCCAGCAGCACTCTGTGGTCGAGGAAGCTAGGTTACCTCACGTTCAACACTGCCTGGGTGCACAGAGCCAGCTTTGGCCTAGTACAGTGACAGAGCTATTTGGCCCTCCAGGAACTGGCCTTGGGTTTGGGGTGTTTTTTTATTACCTGGAATATCCCAAAACTGCATGAGTTGACAGTATTAGGATTTTGGTTTCCCTTTCTCTTTTTAGAAAGAGAGTACCTGAAGAAAATTGCTGAACCCTCTCTCTTCTGAGGGACAAGGAGCTTCAGTGACTTTAGGACTGATGCTGGAGCTAGTGCCAGATGTTGACACCAGCTTGTCAAACTCTCTTGGCTTGAGTACTGGCTGCCTCAGAAACTGCCTCTCTCCATGAAGGACATAATGAGCACTGTGGGCTATTGGATAATCAATGCGCGCCACCTTAACCTGATGGGCAAACTTTGTGTGTGTCTTGGAAGAGGATGTAAAGACATGCATGACCAGTGTGTTCATTTTGACATGGTTGTTTGTGCATGCATCATAAGGATCTGTGGGAACAGTGCAACTTTCTGAAAGCTGAAAAGGATCACAGATGCTACTGGAAAAGTTCTGCTAGGAATTGTACATGTGAGATGTATGCTACTTCTGTCATAAAAAAACACAAAAGGAAGTTCATGGTGGAACTTCATGAAGCTCAAGGTTGTGATAAACGCACCTACCTTTGACTGAAAAACTTACAATGCTAAGGAACTTCGGATTGAGACGCAGAACACTTTTAAGGTAAAAGATGGTGACAGCCTGTAATGGACTGAGTGGAGATTTGATGGGAAAGTTTCCTGCAGGATAATGTGCAGCATGAGTTTGTTTACATGATCCATTCCAGTGACCTTGCTCTGACAGCAATAAACATCACCTGAGATGAAGTCAAGAGAAAGGACAGTACTTTCCTGAACTGCAGCAGCTCTGGTCACTAGAAAGTGCCTCTCAACAACTTCCTCCAAAGATGTAAGCAGTATGTGACAGGCTGACACTACACAATGCCTATACCTCTTCTCC